GACTCCGGACTGTCTCCTATAGGGGCTTTCAACATCTTATCTATAAATCAAACCCGCTAGGTGCACAGCGTCTTAATTGTACAAGGGCGTCTCACGCACATACAGACTACGCGGGAAAAGGGGGATTCGAATAAAATAAACCCTGGCCAAACCAAACAACAAATCGTACAAGTTCGCAAACAAGTGTTCAACGGATCGAAAACGCAACGAAGAAAAAACAAACACTGGAAAACTAAACGTAAACAACATGACAAAGGTGAGTGCAAACCCTCGGACAGCAATCTCACTTTTTGAGCGAACGCATGGGGAATGTTCGAGTTTCCCTCAGTCACAAAGGGCTGAGGGTGTGGCTTAAGTATACGTGTGTTGGTTTTTGTCAGTGGTGGGTGGGTGGGTGAACAAAAACTACAACGCGTAGTGGACAAACCCGCCCACCCACCACTAGCCAGGCAACGGTGCAAACGTATAATTGAGTGTGTCAATGTGAGACATCGAATGGGTTCAGTTTGAAATAAAAAATGTGCAACAAACTGGTTTCAAAAACAGGTTGTAAAAAAGAAGGTTGATCGCAAATCTCACAGCCAGACCGAAGTTCAGGTTCGGAAACAAAAGGTCGTGTGAGAACCTAGATCAACACAGGCCAGCGGAACACTGCGTAGCACGCAACGCGTAGCCAGGGGCGCGAAGACGCGGAGACAAGAGAGACGCACAGAGAAGAGGCACGCGTAGCGACGTTGCGTGTGCAAAGCCATGCATTCATGGCAAATAAGGCGCAACTGGTTTGATGTGTTCAAGATAAGGCATTATCTGCTTTGCAGAAAAGTGCTTATCTATAAATCAAACCCGCTAGGTGCACAGCGTCTTAATTGTACAAGGGCGTCTCACGCACATACAGACTACGCGGGAAAAGGGGGATTCGAATAAAATAAACCCTGGCCAAACCAAACAACAAATCGTACAAGTTCGCAAACAAGTGTTCAACGGATCGAAAACGCAACGAAGAAAAAACAAACACTGGAAAACTAAACGTAAACAACATGACAAAGGTGAGTGCAAACCCTCGGACAGCAATCTCACTTTTTGAGCGAACGCATGGGGAATGTTCGAGTTTCCCTCAGTCACAAAGCCCCATCTAGAAATTTCCGTGTGGGACTCGCATTCGTGTGCATAGCATTGTGATCAAGCTGTCGTCTAAACGGGTTCGTTTGGCACCAAGAAGTTCCAGTTCATCAAAAAGTCCCCTCGACGGATCATCGCCGAGAATTGAATGAGTCGGGATACGAGTGAGGAAGGGATGCAGGTCGATGGCCACTTCTTTCATCGTGCCATTGTGGATGACCCTTTGTGCTGTCTGCGACTGTGCAAAACCTGCAATCCAACACGCTTTGGCAGCTTCATGTCTATGAAAACTAACACACAAGCAAGCTTCAAGAGGTGTTCCCAAACCCACAAGCAGATAGCACACGGTAGCACTTCCGCTTCAAAAACATGTTGGACCTGGTCGTCACGCCCCTACGTTTTGACAAGAGAAGGGGTCCACAACGTGGCCAAAGTAGTGCAACAACCTACCATGTCTATCCGCCAAGACGGCACCTATGGACACGCTGCTCCATTCGTCCGCTGCTGTGATCTCCGAGCAAGCTCCAACCAGGAACAAGAAAAATGTTTCTCTGTCAACACAAGAGATGGACCTGGGTGCTCTCGTCAGCACATGGTCCTTGAACCACTCTAGAGTGGCCCTCACTTCTGACGTCAGGGGGTTCAAGCAGCTGCGCATCAAGCCGACGTGCCCGATGGAAAGCAGGGCTATCTTGGAGAACCTGCTATGGCACTAGTTCCAAGTCGAATTCAACATCAAGAGCCTGGAAGACAGTCGAGAAAGGTTTGTCTTTCTCAGGGTCTTCTGAAAGCTTCCAGCCAAGGGAACTGTTCGAGGAAGGCGGCCATCCACTGAGGGAGAAGCCTTGTCGCATTTCCAAGGCCACTTTGCTGTCGGGGTACTCCAAGTCATCCAACAATCCCCGGAACAGCATAACCCTTTCAGATGCGAGCACCTTTCGCACGTGTCCATCCATCTGCTCCCTGCGCATGCTTTCATCGTGCGCAACTAGCGCACAGAGAAACAAGCTTGTTTGCAAACTCACATTGGATCCTTCCGAAACAAAGGCCGCTGGGATCATTGTAAAAAAGAATATTCCGCACCATCTGAAACAAAGACCGCTGGGATCATTGTAAGAAAGAATATTCCGCACCAACATATCGCCCACAGACAAGGCCATGGTTGTGGGGTGGACAAGTTTGCACGCTACCGTCAGAAATTGACTTGGTTCTTTTGGGATGCCAATCAACGCGGTTTTTGGCAGCCCCACTTTTGCATCGATACTACCCCCTTCAGCAGCATTCACTGAGCGCAAAAGTTTGGAGCCCTTGGCAAACGCATCCCTGACCGCTTATTGTTTGGACTTCCGGCATTGACGAGATGTCAAACTGCTGTAGTTGTAAACACTCTGTAGGCATTGGTGACAATTTGCGCCCTCGAGGAAGGCAACCCAGGATTGCTTTGTTGAGGTGTGTGGCATTGGTTGATGCGGTTTGTACCTCATCAACAGTCTCAGCCGGTCTGGAGACGTTTCGGGTCAAGGTCGTAAGCGCACTCTTCAGCAGTTGCGAAACCTGTTGCAGTTTTGCCCTAACGCAGGTGCGTACGTTTTTCATCACATTTGCGTTCAAGGTGCGTGCGCACCTGCGCTACGCTTGTCCAAAGTGCAGTATCTTCCTTCCTCTTGGCTGCAAACATACATGTATGAAAGGAGAAAGCAATCCGGCGGGGATTGCTTCAAGCAATCGGCGAGAGGGATCGGTGATCCACATCAGTGAACTGGCTGGGTCTTCGACACTCCATGCAATGCCCTTTTTCCTACAACATCAAAATCACTTTGCAGGTCCACGCAAAAAGGAAATTAGCCTTACCAACTCTCTGTCGTTGCACAAAATTGAGGTTTGGAAGGGCCATTGGAAAACGAACGGACCTTAGTGGACGAGGTCCTGGCTGTATGTTCCTTGCAGCGCTTGCCGTGCCATAAGGTGGTGCAAAATGTACATACAAAACTTTGTCCAACAAAATCAAGTCCTCAAGCACTTTACGCTGGTCGGCCTTTGTAACGTCGATTCGTAAATTCGGCACTCCCTCGAGGGCCACATGCACAATTGAAACGATCTGGAATCGCTTGGCACGTAATCTCTCTGAGAGCTTGGCTTAGCCGCAAAAGATTTCCACACAAACAGCTTCTGACAGAGGTGTGGGGGCAGCGGCAGGTGTTTGACATTTCTTTGGACACGCCTGCATGGAGTGTCTGCCTCCACATTTGATTCATTCATGGCACCCTTCGACACAACGGGTGTGTCCATCTATCTCGTGCGTTCCGTTTGAACAGCTGCGCGGGGAATTGTAGTTGTAGCACACCCGCAAGTTGTTCTTTGCTGCGATTGTAGCTCTTGCTCTCTGCTGATGCCTTTGGACAAAGGCAGGTATCGCGGTGCACATTCCTCCAACATTGTCGTGAAGAAGTCAACCACTGCATGGGCTCGTTCATAATCACCTGAATGGTGAATCCTGTAATTGATGCAGATTGTTTTTCGAATCCTTTCAACTCGCCCTTGAGGTGGGAGTCGCTTGATCTGCCCTTCTTGTTGTGGCTCAACGTGTAACCTGATGGTCGCAACCGCAACCGTAATTGCTTCATAACTCAGCTGTCTCATCGTTGACTCCAGTCCAATCGTCGGCGCATGAAATGCACCGTCCATGACCTGCAGAAAGCGGCATGCATCAAGTTGCCCTGGCTGGCCACATACTGCCAAAGCTAAATTGTTGAACGTCTTCAAGTTCTGTGTCTCCAGTGCATTTGATTTTAGCTGCAGACAAACCAATCTCGGTGCACCGATGTTTGAAACTTGCAAGTCAGTGAAATCAAATGGGCCCGGACTGAGAAAGTCAGCGTCACCAAAAGTCATCATCACTGCTTGAACTCTCACGTTTTGGCTGCATTGTATCATTGCCTTCTGTGACACGAATCTGATTGAGCAAGTGATCCAGATGAAATTGAATTCTGCATCGCACCTTTAAGGCCTTGTTGTGTTGAATGCGGTACAGCACCTTCTGGTCCATCTGCTTGAGCACCTGTTGTTCGGCCCGGGAAGCGATGGTGTCTGGCGACAGACCTACCCAGGATGGTTGCCACGGCTCAAAATCTGGCCATGTATCGATCTCTTCCTGATCGTAGTCGTCGCCGTGAGGAAAAGGCACACATGGATCGAGTTCAGCCTCGGACTCTGATTCAGCGTGGGCAGCCATCAACGCAATTCAGCTCGTGAGCTGAAATCGTATCAAAATGTAAAAGTAGAAAACTAGCCATGTGTTCTTCTTTGAATGTCATGAGGTCATGGTTATATGCGCAGCAATCAGCATATCCATGCTGATCGTCCATTCCGCAAAGTCTAAATTAAAAATTGCCTGCCAAGTGATGTGCAAGTGTTCAACCTCACAACATTGCAGGGTTGTGCAAAACTAAAAACCCTGAGTTCAAGAAGATTTCATAAACCTGTGTTCATTTGTGCAGTGCGCGCAAAATGCACGGCTTGAGTCAACATGCAGCAATCGATTGGAGATTGCCCATTGTTCACGATTGTTCAAGATGTTCATTTCGCCTGGTGGTGGTGGACAAATGTTGTGCATTCACGACATGTACAGCCACCACAGTGCAAACGACTCAAGCAAACTGCATGGTGATTTCTGCATTGAAAACGTTATGGTGGTGATCAAATGTTGTGCATTCACGACATGTGCAGCCACCTCAGCATGTTCATATCAAACAATTGCAGTAAATAAAGGAAACTACATGGTGATCTCTGCATTCAACGACATTGGTCCCTTGGCGCACAGAGATCTTTTTTCCAGCCACATCGCCGTCTCAAGCTGCTGCCATGTGTGTCATGGTGCCCTTCTAAGTGTTGCCGTCATCTGCAACCAAGGCTTCCTTGCTACCAAAACAGGTGGCACACTTTGGGCACTCCTCTGACGCTTCAGAGGTTTTGCTTTCATATCGGTTGTTGCACACTCGTCCGCACAGGAACTTTTTCTCTGATGGGTGCTTCAAGTGGACCACATATGAAAAGGAGTGCGCGAACTTCTCCAAACGTGACCCAACAACCACCAGTGTCGGCCTGAGCTCAGGACGCAGCAGCTCCCACAACATTGTTGCATCATTCACAGTCTCACATGAGGTTGATCCTGCATCTGAGGAGCTGTCGGCGGCTGTTGCATCAGTGTCACCACCAACTCGCTCGTCATCGCTGAAAGGAAAATCGTACGAGCCATCTGAGATCTCTCCGCTGTTGGCCGCAAAGTCAAGCTTCGGCTGTAGCTTCAAAAATCTCCCTGACCAGATGACGTCAGGGGCAAAAATGCCCTTGATCACAGCGTCCACCGCCTGTGCAACAGCACGCATTGCCGGGGCCATGCTGTCCCGTGCATATGTTTCAGCACTCTTTCCCCCGACATCCAAGTGGTGCCCGCCCAATCGTCGGACGTGAAGTTCCGTGCCAACTTCGGCCAGCCATGAAAGAATTGTAACCTCGCATGAATGGCTGCGCGCAACGCTGCGCCTCTCTGTTTTGATGTCCAAGCATTGACGCAAGAGTTCACTGTTCTCCGATGCAGTAAGGTTTTGTTCCAATGGTTTGCCGTCTGAGTCAAACCTGCACAGCAATGGCCGCCTCAGTCGGCCTTCAGTTTCCAGTCCAAGGGCTTCCCAAATGAATCGTGGCTTCTCCAAGTCCAAAATTCGTGCAACACCACTCTGCATAGCACTGTGGCTCCTGCATCTGTCGTTTGACATGGTGTCCATAACCGTGTCTCCAGCCGCTGAACGTGCAAAGCTTGAGGCGACTAAACCATCGTCAGCTATTTCAGCATCAATGTAAGCGGGAGCACTGTCAAACAAAAACGAATCAAAATTGACGTCCAAATGTGCAGGGGCTTCATCCGGTCCTGTGTACAGAGCTCCTCCTCCACGTAAATCAGAAAAACGCTCGACGGAATCACTGGCAAGCGGCTTCAATGAGGCAAATGATTCAACTGGGTCTGAGGTGAGTTCAGAACCGTTCCAAAACCCACCATCACCTGCAAGTGAACCATCGGCAGCCTGATTAGAAATTCGTGAGTCAACATACCCCCACTTGACATTCCAAATTATGGCATTGTGTCGGCAAATAACGCTTGAGTTGCAATACTTGCTGTGTCGACCTGCGTCCACTGGCTGCTGCGTATTACATGCAGCAGTCCAAACAGAAATGATGAAGTTAGTCCCACCAGTGCTCTTCACATCGATGGTATCCATGGTCACCTGTTGCAGCACAAAAAGTGTCGCAAGAAGCCATAGAGCAGATGAAATGGCACTGATCGGCAGGCAATGGGCCGGATGGCGTCGAGGGCGCCGGCACCCTCCAAGGATGTGCAGTGGAGGATGCTGTGCCGTCAACTGGCATGGCAGCTGCGCCGTTGTCATCCTCGGCCTCGCCGATTGTTGCTGCAACCTCGATGGGAATGTTCAATCGTCTGGTCAATTCGCACACCAGGGCGATGAGCAAGGATACCAATTGTGGCCCTGTGAGACCTGTAAGTTGAGAGGCATCCATGGGGGAATGATGAACAAAAACTACAACGCGTAGTGGACAAACCCGCCCACCCACCACTAGCCAGGCAACGGTGCAAACGTATAATTAAGTGTGTCAATGTGAGACATCGAATGGGTTCAGTTTGAAATAAAAAATGTGCAACAAACTGGTTTCAAAAACAGGTTGTAAAAAAGAAGGTTGATCGCAAATCTCACAGCCAGACCGAAGTTCAGGTTCGGAAACAAAAGGTCGTGTGAGAACCTAGATCAACACAGGCCAGCGGAACACTGCGTAGCACGCAACGCGTAGCCAGGGGCGCGAAGACGCGGAGACAAGAGAGACGCACAGAGAAGAGGCACGCGTAGCGACGTTGCGTGTGCAAAGCCATGCGTTCATGGCAAATAAGGCGCAACTGGTTTGATGTGTTCAAGATAAGGCATTATCTGCTTTGCAGAAAAGTGCATAACATCCCTCCAGTGACAACTTTGACGCCTAATGCTTGGAAACCCCCCGATCCCCCAGCTAATAAGCACAAAGTGCATTTACTAGGATCCACGTGCAAACCATACTTGTGAGCGGAAATTGAGTTAGGGGAGCAACTCATTTCAAAGATATGATGATCCCCTTATTTGTATTGACGAGGGAAAAATTTGTAGTGACAAAATTAGGTTGGGTTTTTTGTTTCTGTGACCTGTTTTTTCACCTTACGCTTAAGTCAGTACATAAATAATATCTATGTGCGCGCACGCCTCAAACCAGGGTGGGTGAGGTGGGTTTTTCGCTTCACTTTTGAGTGGTTGTGATTTTTTTTTAGAATGGGGGGTAGGTAGTTGGCCATGGAAACCTCGGCAGAGGATATCGGAGCGAGCCTGGCAGAGTCTGGACACTAGTTTGGAGAGACATCTGGATCAAGCCATTTGGAAAACTGGTTTTCTAGAGTTACAAAACAATTCAGCAGAGGTGGACACTGGAGAAATTCTAGAACCACAAACTGTTTTGGACTCTACAGATCTGTTTGGTTTGCCTGATGACGACGCTGGCTATTCACCTTCCGTGTGTACTGGGAGTTCGTTGGACAAGAGCCTGGATGTTTCGAGCAACTACGATCCTGAAGCAGTGGTGCAATCGGCGTGGAAGAGTCTTCCGGTAGATTTTCAAGCTTCTTGGGAACGTGGTTTTCTGGAACCGGTTTTTGGATCTCAACAGTTCAGCCATGGACATGCTGGGAAAAGGGTTCAAGCGACCTTTGCCTGCACCTGTGGTACAAGAACTAGAAGTGCAGTTGAAGATACATAGTTGCGGAAGAGTTCAACTTTGATTGCAGCCATGTTTATACGAGGTCCATAGATCACAAGGTTTGCAATTTTTTTCGCAAAAGGAAAAACACAAGTGACAAGTTCGTGATTTAAAAATTTTGACAATGTGACTCACAGTACTGACAGCTCTCGCCGATTCTGAAGCTGCATTTGAGCAGCACTGCAATAAGCTGGTCGGAGATGGCAGTTTAGCGGCCTTGCTGGTGAAGCATGGATCAAGAGTTTGAGTGCACTGGCATTTGCGCCGGAGACTCCACAATCGCCGCTAACAGAGGAGCAGTTTGCAACTCAGGTGAATGGCGGTGTTGACATGAGTTTGGTTTGCAGGCGCACCTCAAGCGTCTGCACTTTGAAGCTGCAACAATAATGATGGCTGAGTTGAAATCCCGTGCTATGGATATAACACAAGACGGGGCCAGGAAACCACCTTTAGCAGAGAAAGCAGTACGTTTCAAGGAGCAGGAAACCAGACTTCCTGGCTTCGCCTGAAGGGCGAACTACAGCCCTCCTTGGTAGACCTGGTCGCACAAGTCAAAGAGACAAACTGCATTACTTGGATTGCCGTAAGTGCAGTAAGAGAGACAGTGAAGTTCAAAATAGCTTTAAGGAGAAGCCCATAATTCTCTCTTTGGAACAGAAAATGGTGAAACTGGCCTCCCCACAGAGCAGTTAGTGGCCGACACCTCCACAGACTTTGCAATTTCAATGGGCGCTTCAGCGCCGTGGCCTGGCAATGATCAGTGCACCCTTATAAAGCTTGACGAGCACGAGGCAAGGTATAACAGTTGCTGCGGCAGTGACCAGAGAGCCACCACCTGGGTTCACAAAAGTGTCAATTAGCCAGGCCATACGAGCCGACAGGGCTCTTCACCATAATTATCCAAGAACTTCAAGACTCTGTACAACCCGACTCCAGACGGGTTTTTCATGTTCTTGCTACCTATGCCAAAAAAAGGCAGCCCAAAGGAACCTGAGAAAGCTTCCCTCTACTCCAACTCCAAAGGCTTCTTTTTTTTTTCCTCGAGTATGGCCGATGTCGCACTGTGGCTCGGTCCTTACATGAGCATAAGCAGTCAAAACGACATTTGTACAAGGACCTAAACGGTCCAGATGTGCAGGCAAATCACAACAAACCAAACAAAAAACCACACCCAACCACAAGACGACCCGCAAATCCCCCAGCCAGATTTGCGTTTCGTCAAAGCAAAAAACCGCAAACCAGACACACAACGGGGCAAGAGCCCAAACAAAAACACCCACAAAAAGGATTTGCCAATGGACACAGCGGTCTTACCACTGTGTCACACTCAAAAACATGCCAAAATTAATTTTCCACCACGACATTCAGTGAAACATAGAAATCGAAACATTGTATATACCGTCGTTGGCATAGAAGAAACCTGTACATGGTCACGGGCCTACGAAAATTGCCTCTCTCAGCATCCTCTCAGATGTACTTGTGCAGAAGGCCACAATGCAAAGGACCTAAATTGTCCATCCTCTGTTGATAGGAATGTCGCAGTGGTCGTTGCACCAAGCACCCCCCCAGCAGGGGGGGGCAGACGGTGTTGGCGTTCAGGAAGATTTGCAGACCAGGTGTAAACCATCCATACAGCAGCCATCGCAAGAAACAGAGTGCAGGGTCCCCAGCTTCATCGGGGAAAATGCGCACACCTGACCAGATAATCGAGCTCTACCAGTGGTGATCCTCAGCCGTAGGCAATGCTCAAATGGAAGGAAACCATGCAAGAGAAGTCAGCAGACATGCAAATCGCATGGAGCCATGATGCATGATGACTCCACACTAAGACAGCGAAATAATGCATTTTTTTTCCGTCCAACACCTTCATGGCTTCCGCCAGGTCGTTACACCCATTCAATCGCGGCAAACAGTTGAATTGTAATTTACATGCAGGGCTGTCAACTTGTCGAAAGCCACAAAAGTGCTGGTAGTGGACCAGTACGCAGTCCAGAAGCTGTCCCAGCATGAAAACAGACAAGAAAGCAAACCAAAAACAACAAAGCAAAAACAGGCAAAAAACACACAACCACAACAAAACCAAAACAAAAACGACACAGAGAAGTGGGATCGCCACCAGCAATGGGAATTGCATGATGACATCTTATGTGTCATTATGAGAATGGCCCAAAACAAGAAGCAAAACAGAGGAACCACAAAACACACCAATGGGCCATGTTGGTGGGTGAGAGAAGCAACAAAGCTCCATGCGGAAACCAGGGATCCCCCCAGCCAGGATCCCCGAGATCACAAAGAGCAGCCGTTCAGGCATGACATTACACCCTGGCACTTCGAAGCAAACACCGACAACGCCGGGTCGCAACGAGAGTGGTGAGAAACGAAAAAAACGGTGAAACAGGAAGTGAAACAAGATCTAAGGTGAAAATGACAGCAATAGCTACGGCACTCAGGGCACACTCAGAGTCCGCTCAGTTGTTCTTTTCTTTTCCAAGCATCATCATCATTGGGAGCTCGACAGCATTGATGCAGGCTTGCAAGCGTGGAGCTCCTCGAGCGGTCAACTCAGCAGGCGTTGCAGCCAATTGCATTTGATGCGGTCGGTGTTCCATGGCCTTGAAGCCCTCGAGGCCTGCCTCGAAGCCTGCCCTGACGTGTTTTGCTGCAATTTCCATGGTCTCGCGACACTGGAGTTCAAGACTTCCATTGAGGCCTGCCTCCAACTTTGTTTCATCCTATATTTTTTTGGTTTGCTGCAATTTCCATAACCGTGAAGCCTCGAGGCTTGCCTTGAGGCCGTCCCTTTGCGCCAGCTGCGGCTTAAAATTCTAGCGAGGCAGCACAGGCACCAACTACTTCAAGTTCAGCCTTGCTGGGACTTCAACAATAGTATTATATAGTTTCGAGTCCCCATAGGCCTCGCTTTGTCCTTGTGACAATACGTTTTGCGTCCGAGGTGGCCTCGCCCAGGCCTCGCCGAGCCTCGAAGCGCCTCGATTGCATGCTTTGGAAACACGCGACCTCTTGCATCAACATAATAGAAAGGGAAAGGTTGTCATAATCAAGACAAGAAGGTACAAGAGGGGTTCCTTTTTTGCACCTGAAACTGATATGATTTTTGGAGACGGAGTTGGGGCCTCCCTTGAACCTGAGGAGAAGCGCGCCAGGCACTTAGATCACACACGCCACGAGTTTTTCAAGCATGTGAAAAGCGGAATAGTTAGCTTGTCTCTCAGTGTAAGCTCACAATGTCTACCAACTACAAGAAGTTGGAGAGGCGCCTGTTTGTGAATTATCCAAAGTGCCTTGGGTGTTTTCCAAACCGCATCAGAAATGTCAGTCAGCTGACCAAGTCACTGGACGCGTTTTTGAAAACCAAGTCAGCAAAGGCTGCCGAATAGAGGGCCATCTGTTTCATCACTTGCTGTGAGCCCAAAGGGGCAATCGAGTCCAAAAAGTTGCTCACCAGAAAGCTGCCATCTGGAAAGCCAGAGTTCATGAGATGAACCAAAAGTGGTCTTGATTTGAAACAAGCACATGATTGAAAAAAACAGAAAGCTGGTCAGAGACATGTGCAGAAAGCTGTGCATTCATCAAGTTTGCGTGCAAAGGCACTCGGCATGAAAGCTGCATTTAATTTTCACGATGATTTACGGCTTAAGAGCACAGGGGTGAAAACCCAAAGAAAAGATTTTTTTTCCCGCAATCTCACTGCTTGTCAGGTGTTATCATCACTGACCCAGATAAAGAAACTTAGACTTGAGCTTTCTTACCAGTCATTGTGCATTGCAACCTTGTCAGGTGTCGCCATTCATTGCTTGCTAAGGTCCAGAAACTCTCACACATGTTGACTTTTCTTTTGCTTTAGGTCAACCTGCGAAGCCATGAGTTCTTTGATTGACAGTTCTGCACAGTTTGAATCGCAGTTGCATGACACAGGGGTCAGTCTGCCTTTGGTGACGTCACTGAAGACGCATGGTGTGAGGACACTAGCGCAGCTGGCGTTTGCCATTGGGCAGCCTGGACAACCAATTGCAGATACAGCAATAGAAACCCTGGTTCAGGCGGCTGCAGGAAGGCCTCCAACTTTGAATG